CTTCCGTCTCCTCGCCCACGGCACTGTTGCTGCTGCTATTACTGCTATTACTACTGCTAGTATTACTGCTAAGCCTTTGCCTAGGTTGCTCGTGACTCTGGCTGATAAGATAACGTTCGTGCATAGAATCATCGTCCCTATCTCTTCTCCTCGACTGTTGCTGTTGCTGATGCAACTGTTGCAACTTCTGCTGCTGCTTTTGTTGCTGTACAAAACTGTAACTGCGAGCCAATGGTTGCGGCACAGCTTGAAAGATATACGAAAAGAAACAAATGAGAGAATGAATTAAAACAGTTGAGATACGGATGACTACTTGATTTTAAAGAGACGAGAATTAACTTACAATCCAGCGAATTATTACACGCAGTATTTCTTCTATACTCTTTCTCCCTGTCGCGCTCTCGCTCTCTTTCTCGTTCGGGAACCTCAACGCTTCTTTGCTTCGACGCATTGCTCAATACACCTGCACCTCTGACAAGGCTCTTCGAAGGATCGTTTCTCTCAGCTAACATTGCACCGTACATGTCCCTAACATTCGCTTCCGAAAGCGACACCGAGCATCCATGATGCCGTCTTCCTATACTACCAGTATTATCTTGCTTATTCATATTACGCGGATGCATGGAACTTGGATAAAAGGCTGAAGTGTTTGTTTTGTCCAAACTATTTACTCTCTCTCTATGGTGAATTTCTCTTTCTCTATCTCTATGATAACGGTTACTGCTTTCCACCAGGGAGCCATACTTCTCACCCTGCGATTTATAGCTATGACTCAACTGAACTTCTGGCGGACGGTACGGAGGCATCTCTTGCCTGAATATTCTAGATTCCATCAGTGACTCACGATACGGCGAAGTACTTGGTTCAGGACCATACGAGCCTCTACTACTTTCTCTACCTGCAGCAGCAAAACACACTGAATTAACTTCCTTCTAATTTTGCTTTCTCCTCAGAAAAGAAACGTCGCGATCTCAATTTCTTAATGAAATTTAACTCACATTCTTACCATTTTTATTCTTTTCCAACTCTAAATTGCCCGCCCTACCCTCGCGTTGCGAATCAACGAACGTCTTCTTCTTAAATAGGGGAGTACTAGTCGAGAGTGACAAACCTAATGGAGGCGGTTCACCCAACGGCACTGACTTCTGATTCTTCACACTTTCTAAAGTGCCACTCTTGTGCCCCCTAGCTTCCAACGTGCCGCTGTGCTGCCTCGGTGAAGACTGTGCTTGACTTGCCGATGATGTTTGCGCGGCGGAACGATGATGGTGTCGATGCGGGGAATCCAACAATCGGTACCCAGTCGATTCCAGGGACGTACGGCTGTGAGAGACAGAACTGTCACTTGACCGACCGGAGTCTTGAGAATGATTGTGTTGACGACGTGCTGTAGGCACTTCATGGTGCCTGTGATGTCTGTTATTATGATGGTGATGATGATGATGATGCCGCCTTGAAGATGGAGATGGAGAAGGAGGAGACGTTTGGAGATCCACGCCAACACTGGATGTTCTTGTTTTATTTACACTA